TAGGACACGATTCTTGAATGTAATTATATGGTTAGCTTCAGGGAAGATCAAGGAAGGTAAATTGGTAGAAAAATTAGATTGAAAAAGGCTTGAAAACAGATTTCGAAGTTGTAGAATTTTAAGTTATGAAACAAGTTTGGCAGGGTGATTCTGGATATCCAAGCTTGAGGAAATGAATGGGAGATGCCCCTCCATTTATAGGGAATCAAATGGAATGTCCAAGCGTGTGAAATGATGAAGTTTGGAGGGAAATCGTGTGAAGTTGCAAACAAGAAAAGTGTGACTTCTAATTTGATCAAAACTCATCCAAAACGTGTGTTTTGTTGTGCTAATCACTTCTGGAAGTTCACTAAACATGTTTAGACGCAAAAACGCACAGAAACAAAGTGTTTAGAAGCTAAACCAATGATTTCAAATTCTGACTTTTGAAGAAACTTCAGTTCCAAGTTACCAAGTTCAAATCAATGTCATTCTCAGCTCAAGGGGTCTTAGGGCATGATTCTTGATGCTTTAGAAAGATGAGGTTACAAGCTTTGCAATGGAAAAAGAATAGAATCAAATGGATGCTTGAGCTGAAAGTTGCATTGAGACAAAGTTGGGAAAAAGAAGTTGACTTTCCATACTTAGAAATATTTCAAGTTTTTCTTCAAAAGTGACCTATAATGTCTTGCATCCAAACATGGCCTTCCACTTGAAATTTTTCTATTAACCAAAAAATATGGCATGAAATAGACCTTTTGAATGACATTTTGAAACTTTAACCATTCAAAATCTCTAAAAAATGAGAGAGTTATGAATTGTTGAAGTTGGCAAAAAATCATGAAATGACCTATAATCTTTTGTATCCTTAGGGCATCTTCCATCCATTTTCTCACTTTGCACATAAAAGAAGGCATAAAGTTATTATCCTCAAGATCATTATGGAAAATGAATGGGCTAAAGGTGATAAAAATTGACCAAGTTATGATCATTTGAAATCACACATGAGAAATTGGGGGTTCATTTGGAGGACTTGTAATCTTTCTTCATCATCAAGTTTCTTCCACATGGAAAATCCTTTAAAATTTTGAAGTGATTTGTTGATAACCCTTTGAAGATAAGTATGTCTTTGGAATCACTCAAAAATACCAAAAGATGAGCAAGATATGCTTCTTTGAAGTTCAAAACCCTAGATCCTAGATCAAGAAAATGCTTTGAGGAACTTAGACAATTTGAACAAACTTCTTGTACCAATACAAATGATTTGTAAATAGAAGTTGTTAAGGATGATAATGAGAACTCATATCCATCAAAACCACTTCCATATCTTGATAATTGAGAGAAATATGCACTTATGACCAATGGGAACAAAGCCTTGTCCAAGCATGACAACTTTTTCAGTCAACCCCTTGTACTTTGGAATCAAATTTGATAACCTTGAAATATGGTGAACCAAAATAACCTTGCCATGCCAGTTCTTCCAAAACAACTCCAATGATGAGGTTTGAACTTCTCAAAATTTATTGACTAGGGAATGGAAATAAACTCATGAACCCATGGAGGAACTTGCTAAATCTCATTGCCTTTACCTACATTAGTAACAAGCAAGACAAACCAACATTAAATTTTATTAATTAAAAGGAAAAATCAAGATAAAATATTCATGATCACAAAAGATAACAAGTCAAAGTGCTTGGTGATTCCTCAAAGAGCAAAGCTAAAGGTAGGGAGGAGAATCAAGAACCATGATGTGATCTTGTTGTGATTGAAACAATATGGTATGATGAAGGGGTCTTAGGGGCAAAAATTGGGATACAACAGTAAGTTCGAATTCCCGGATAAAGGCAATCACATTGGGATGATATTGGGAGGGAGCCAAGTTCAAATGATTGAACACCCCCATCTGGAAGTCGTTGAAAGGAACCTGAAGCCCAAGGTCTTTGAACATGATCTCATACATGGGGAAGGCATCCTGAGTGAACTCCGAGCATATACGAGTGTCTTGTGTTGGCCTCATGATTTTGAAATTTCTTCGAAATCCCTACTGGTCGCCGCCATACTCGACGACCGTATAGGCTTTCCTCCCGGTGTGACTATAGATTGAGGCTATCCCTCGGGGTTCCGCACCAACCCAATCCAGAGTAGGATCATCGATGGTGTCAACCAGATTAATTCTCTCCTCGGTTGTGCTAGTTCCCTCGGTGTCCATGTGCTCCGAGGACTCGGGAGTGTCGACCATTTACCTTTAAAGTACAGGAAACCAGTGAATTCGACAGCAAATCTGGCTTTCTGCGACACAAATGAGGAGGTTAAGCAACACCCAAACCAAGTTGACGGCCATTCGCACAAAAAAGGGGAAATACGCGGACCTCGATCAAGCAGCAATCCTAACGACGAACGCCTATGTCTATCATAAATATACCGGGCACAGGAAGAATATGGAGAGCAGACTATGAATCTCACGACCAAGTTCATAAATTTGTTAGCCAGACACAAGGAGATCGCGAGTAAAACTAGCCTAAACGTTCATGAAAAAATGAATCTCACGGCCAAGTTCATAAATTTGTTGGTTAAACGCATGAATGTCACTGGGATAATCATAAATCACATGCCTAAGCGCATGAACGTCACGGGCATGATCATAAATCAAGCGCCTAAACGCCTGAATCTCCCAGGCGTAACCCCCAGACACGAAACCATACTACTAAACATCATCAAAATTTATCTACAACACAAGATATCAAGGAAAAAGAACGCTTACGTGGAGAAAAGGTGAAGAGCGAAGGTTGTTAAGGTAGGATACGCGGCGGACTATGCGGCGGTCTCAAGGATTCTGGGAAAAACGCACGGTGTTGACGGAAGAGAAAGTGTATAAGTGCAAAAATGTGAAAGTATGTTATGAGCCCCGGAGCCCTATTTATAGAACTGGCGTGGAATGTTAAACATCGCGTCGGGCTGTCACAATCCGCCTTTCTCCTCGACACCTACGTGTACAGGCAATGATGGCCCCTACTCCCTAGGTCATCATTACTGTTCCCAAGAGCCATGTCACGTGTCTAACAAGTGTATCATTTTCTCCCCATGAGTCCTCCTCGAACATGCTCCGACCGCTGCCCGGAGCAAAATCACGAACCGACGACGTTCTCCATCCACAGTAGAAAAACTCCATTTCGAGCAGCGAACCTCGCAAAAGGGCGAACTTGAATCAAGTCATGACTCCTTCACCAGGAGCAACGACTTGGGGGATCATGTTCTGGACTGGGTCTGCTCTTGACCCAACTCTCAATGAGGCCCAATCTAAGTGTGCCAATCTGAACCACTGACCGTGCTACCCTCGAACACGGCAGGCAACTATTAACCTTTTTCCGCGAGGAGACAACCTCACCACGCGGAGACAACACCCGAATAGGCCGAGGACGCTCACACCCCGACCATGAAGGCCTCGAGGACACCTCAACTAGCTCGTCGGCCAAGACCGGTCCCCTATCGCGTTCGCGTCTGGCGGGGATCACCCTTGGCGAGCAGGCACTCCTCCCGAACATCTTTCTCGTAGAGCTGACTACCAACATCTCCGGATATTGCGGAGTCTTCGTGGTCCCGGAAAGATCGCGTCCATATCCTCTTGATTTTGCGGAGGACGTCATCCAGGTAGGGAATCACGTGCGGGTCTCCACTACTCACGTAGAACCTGGCAGTCTCTATGTTGGGCCTGCTTGATCAGTCCAATAAAGAGACCTTGATCCAGCGCTGGGGACTATAAATACCCTCTCTTTCGAGATGGTCAGGTATTCAACACTTCCTAACTCTCACGCTTGCTTGCTCATTCCGCAACTGACTTTACCATCGAAGTGTCTTGCAGATATCCTCCACTCATTCAACTTCCGTCTGAGCCAACTGTGACGGTCCATTCTGATCCAGTAAGATCAATTATGCACAAACGAAACGTTAAAACTTGAACACACATGTATAACCCGATTCAAAAACTGATTTATTAGTTTGAAATATCTCTTAATTACTACATTGGGTGTAGGTTAGAATTAATTTATTTAACTTTATCTACTTGAATAAGTTTTGTGACACTTCTAAGAAAATATTGTCAAAATAGCTTATGTTATTTTTTATAAGAACAATTTAACTTACTTTTATAAGTTCTCTTAGTGTGTTTGAAAACTTTCATTTTCACGATGAAAAAGATGAAAGAAGCGCTTTTACTTGATTCTACAATTAACTGTTTCTATATTTTCAGGGTGAATATGCATTGAAACGTGATTTTGAAACGATAAAGGTGGATCCAAACATATGCTAAATTAACTTATAAAAACAACTTATTGTATATAAAAACAAAATGAATTCATCTTATCTATATTTTTATAAGAATAGCTTATGCAGGCCTAATTACGTGTTTATTTTAATAAACAATTGTCCTAAATAAATTGTTTGTCCACTGAATATTTTTACTCATTCAATGCAGAACTCAAGGAACCTTTCAATTTCATATAATACTTAACAAAACTAGAAAAACACATGACATGTCAATTCCTTAACAAGCACACGACCTCGAGGAACCTTTGAATTTTATAATACTCGAAACAATTAGAAAACATTCAATTCACACACTAAATTCTTCAATCTACAACTATTTTCCGATGCAATTGACACTAAATTCTTCAATCTACAACTATTTTCCAATGTAACTTTGTCCTTTCTCAATTGTTGATCAAAAAAACAATTGTCCATCCTCCTCACTGCATAACCAAATTGTATCACTATTATTAACATTAACGTCAGTAATTACCGTTTTGTAAAAAAGATCAATAAAGTTCGAATTCTATCCCTTAAAGTTACAATGACACCCTACCCTCCACTGTTCTTGTAACTTACAGTCTTAATGTCCCCCATTGGTTGAATCCAATTCCTTATGGTGTTTTAATCTCTTCTTTTTGGTATGAGGTGCTCGTCAATCACTCTCTTTGTGACCAGCCTCCATCAACCTTGTCATGTTCATTATCATAGTTTTCACACTAGTCCTGAAGACCACCAGATCTTTTGAGCCTTGAGCTTTTCCTTGAGTAATCATCTTGTGATTCCATCTCTCCTCTATCTTTGTCAGATTCATCAATTACACAGTTGCCATCCATGCTCATGTGTCTAGATTCCTTCATTTGGCTTCTGTGGTGCCTTTTTCTATGTCTATCCTCATTTGATCCAGCCTCGTAAATCTGATGCCGCTTACTACCCTTATTTCGCTTTGGCGAGATCACTCCTTTGCCACCATTCTGCTTTTCATTGTCCATAGTCATAGTATCCCAATCCACATCAAAATACTCTTCATGGCCTCTATTTTTGTCAGGTTCTTCAGTTACATTATTGCTGTCCCTGCTATGATGTCTTGATCTTTTCCTTTGGCTACTACAGTGCCTTCTTCTATTACTATCCTCATCAGATCCAGCCTCATAAGTACAGTCCCTACTATCCCAATCCGACATTCGTGAGTTCCTTCCTTTTCTATCATGCTGCTTTTCATGGTCCTTGTTTACAGTTGCTCTATCCACCTCAGAATACTCTTCACGTCTTCTGCTACTGTCATCCTTAATCATATTAAATGAGCTTTTCCTTCTGCGTTCATGATACTTTTCCCTATCTCTCTCTTCTAACCATTCCATGTCAGAATCAATATCAGGAGTTCTGTTCCTGCGCTTCCTTTTGTGGTTGCATTTAAAGTCGGTATTCCACTCCTCGGGATGAGTTCTTTGTTTTCTTTCATCTTCATATTTTCTTCTATCAGAACGACCACCATTAGACTGATCTATCTCTGTAGATTTAGATCTTCTTGAGTGATACCTAAACAAAGATTATGGTACTAATTAGATATGCAAAAGACTAACTTCATTAAACAAAAATTTGGTAAAAGAACATCATCAAACAAACTATGACAACTTAAATCAAGACATATTTGAATAGCTGAAATTACAATCTGAAAAAAGCTATTCAGAGTTATATTTTCTCGGCACACAAATTTTATTTTCAGTAAAAAATAGTTTTCCCTTGGGGTATGTTTGGGAGTTGGATTTTAAAGGGTTTGGGAGGGAAATGCATTGGAGGAGGACTATGTCTATATATTTCAGGTTTTAAAAAATTGAATGAATGACACGATAGACGATCATATAATATTTCAAAAACTCTTTTCATGAATTTTATAAACATTCTATAGTTTTTTAATTTAGAAATGGAAAAAAAAGTCTTCCCGTCCCGTTACTGCCAAAACTCAACTCTCAAACACAGCCTTAATGCAGCAAGTGAAAAAGCAAAGTTGTATAGTGAAGACTTCTAATTTTTTAGTTGGCTGAAATCTTTCGATGGTTTTAAATTTGAGTTTTATTTCCTTCATATAGACCAAGTAAGGACTTTAAGGGTTTTGTCAAACTCATGGCTGCATAACGAGGTCACATCACAAGATTTTGCCTGAAAAGTTCTTCATCTTGATCCTTGAATGGTTATAAATACTACTACACTTGATAGAAGTTAAATCATGTTTGCTCTTGAGCTTTTTATCTTTAAAACACTAATAGTAAACATTGATTTTCCTCCAACATGCTAAAAATAACGAGTTTCTTTAAACTTACGCTTATTCACATAGGTTCTCAATTCCAATAACCAATTGAAAGCATACCTGTCAGAATCTGTTTCTGAGACATTGCTGGAGTGCTTCGGTGTACTAGATTTGTCATGAATCCTCGAGATCTCATAATCATCAGAATGACCAAATAAAGCAACCATCTCGTTAACCCAAAATTTTGGGGGTGGTCTGTCAGAATCTGCCCATTCATAGTCTCCACCAGGATTACGGAAACAGTGGATAAAATTGCAGGCTGTTCCACGAGAACAAGTCTGTTAAGATATACAAGAAAAGAATATCATCAATCTATGGACATGATTTGAGGAGAAAAAACATTTTGCAACATTTTATTTGTTATAAAGCTTAGTTCGAAACCCACCACGAGCAAAAGTCATGTGATTTGCACAAATGCCCATGGCTTGATCCAAAAGATAAAATAAAAGATAGTCATTATGTTATTCTATACCTGGTAACGAGATTTCTTATACTCGCCACAAATAGCAACCTTCCATCTTGTTAAATTAACAAATTTACATCTGACCTGCCATAAGTCAAAGCCAGGTAAAATTTTGAAAAATGTCAGGAAGTTTCAAGTATTCTGTACATTGAACCTAAAAATATTTCTATCTACCAACTTTGGAATCAAATATTTCACATGGCTTTCCTTAGATATAAAATTAGTTACAGAACATAAATTCAAAATCAGTAAATTAGTCGTGATTGAACACAATAGAGATGAAGCCTCAAGCAAATTTCTAAAGACACATGAATCACTTTCATACTTAATATTTTGATCTACCAACTTAAAGACACATGAAATTATGCACATTAAACCTAAAAATATTTTGATCTACCAACTTAAAAATCAAATAGTTCTTATGGCTTTCCTTAGATATAAAATTACAGGACATAAATACAAAATCAGGAAATTAGTCGTGATTGAACACAGGAGAGATGAAGTCTCGAGCAAATTTTTAAAGATACATGAATCACTTTCACACTTAGAGCTCTCATACATAGTGATCAATTAGATCACAACACAGATCAACAAATCCCCAAAAAACAAACCAAGCAGTAGATTGTAAGAAAAGAACAGAGACCAAACAGCGTTGTGAGATAGTGATAAGTTCAGTGGATTGTAGAAAACCACCAGAGTTAGCAGGAAAAGATGCAGGCAAGCATTGGTGGAAATGAAACAGGCAAGGGTTTGCGTTAATTGGAATTCCCTTTTTTTTCTCAGACAAACAAAACATGGTAAATGAGTTTTTGCCCATGTGAAAGATAGCAGTTTCGCTGTCCATTTTTTCTGCAACACTATTGACTGTAACTGCCGCTATTGAAAAAACCATTTCACCGCCTATGGAAACCTGGAGCGACCAAAGGACACTCCATAGTGCCCCTCCACTATAGGAAGAAATTGACAACTATGCTTTCATAAAACTCATCCAATCATACAGGCAACATTCAAGACATTCATCTGACACAAACAAGACAGGAGTGCAATACCTGTTTCCCAGCGAAATAGCGACCATTAATTGAGTTATAAGCAAGCAGAGCTGAATCCAACAACTTGTACTGTACGTAGACATTTCCTCGCAAGTGAAATGAACCATTTCTACACACCTGAGAAGGATAAATAGATAATGGGTTTAGTACCCTGAGATGCAAGTAATTGTAAGTGGGAGATGCAGTGAAATCAGAGAAAGAGACATCAATATTCTATTTGTTGCTGAAAAAGTGCCATCCCTTCTTTGGATCGCTACTCACTTCTAGAAGTCCTTGGAATTTGTTTTATTTTGCAAAAATGTTGGTTTATGTGTGTAATAAGAAAGGACTACAAGAACAAGATGAGACATTTATATAGAAATTCATGTGTAAGTTCTCCATTTTATTTGTTTTTATCCCACTCTATATAGCAAGATATAAATATAAACCATCATTTAGTAACGCTTGCAATGTTTCATGTAGAACATAAAAAATTCCATTCACAGATATTGAAAACTAAGTTAGCCTAAACTATTTGAGAAACACGTAAATGTATTTACATAAATTTACATAAATGTATAGTGGGCAAAGGAACCTTGAAGTTCACAATTTCTCCAAACTTCAGGAACTCGGTATGAACATCCTCATAAAACTCTTCAAAACAACATTGAATCTCCTCATCTGTATACTGAAAAGGGGGGTTAAAAAGTCAAACAAGATCTTACGTGTTTAAATATAATATAACATGTACAACGTAATAGTCATATGCATAAATGTGGGTGTGGGTGTATAAAAAGGGGATCCACCTTACCAATGGTAAATCTTTGACAGTTGCACCATTTAAAAGCCTTTTGTATGTAAATATGTACAAATCTAACCATTGAATCATTTGATATAATCTACATGATCGTGCATACCAAACTACAACAACAACTAAGCCTTATCCTACTAGGTGGGGTCGGCTACAAAGATAGGAATCGAACCTATGACCATGGTTTTGTTAAAAGACGACTAACCTCTAGGTCAAAGCATTTTACTTATCATGCATACCAAACTGTTCTAAATAAATCCAAAGGTTGAAATTACTTGTGCATCCTACAACACATGCCTCTAGTGAAGTATAACCAGTCTTCAAATTGCATCAAATGTTGTAGGCTTAATCTACTTAATAAAAACTATCTGACAAAATATATAGAGAGCCCAATGCACCCATAGTTAGGCTTTGCCAACCAGCCCTGCAACTAATTAAGGAATGATAAGCATTGATAGTGCATTTTAACATTGACTTGTGTGTTATTCTTTTAAAATAACAACTTCACCAAAAAAAAAGTTAGATTTGTAATTTTCTTTTCCTTATTATATCTAATTTGTGTCAAAAATACTACTACCATTTGATGACAACTAACATCATATATTAACCCTCAAAAAGTCTCATCTGGTATGAAATGCAAAAGGAAATTTACTTACGCTAAATGAGAATATAGGATGCATCCATACAATAATTCAAGAACCAACAAAAAATGAAGACATATTGCACAGCATGATTTGTAAAACAGACTTGAGACTTTTTTCAACTAATATAAAGTACACAAATGTTGGCAAAGTCATGTGTAAAATAAAACACTCCCTCTTCCCACAGAAAACTAAAAAATTCACAAAGTTAACATATTTTGAGAAACACTAACTGTATCCACGTTTTTTTAGGTTTTGCTGCTGCAATCTCAAACTCTTTGAATGTCATGACCATTAGTCTGCATCATAGCTCCTCAAGCCATGAATGGGATATTGCCTGATAACTAGTTATGGTTAAGGAACAAGGACATGTAATTTCTGTAAGAAATAATTTTATTCTTTTAAAATGACATTAATAACTGATGAATCTGCATTACAGTGTTGCGTTGACACAACACTAGTGTGAATCCCGCATGAAAACAATGGATAAAATGTCAGAAATGTAATGATGGCAATGGTAAAGCTAAAAAAGAAGTCAGACATAGAAATAAAAACAAGGAAAAAGGGGAAAAAAATATTTGACATCTCAATCCCAAGCTCGGCAAATTAGGATACAAGAGCTAATATGTTTAAGTTGAAGTAAGCAAAGCGAAAATCAGGAGCCTCCAGCAAGTTGAAGGAGCCTCCCGGTCTGCGATAATTATATAGTCAAAAGAGCAGAAGAAATATGTATAAGTTGAAGAGTCCCTCTCCATTTTACAAGGAGAAATATGAGAGAAAGAAACTGCAGGAAGATATGAGGAATTAAGGAAAAAGAAACCATGAGGCAGCAAGTTTGCAATAATTAAAATGAGAAACGTTAGATGTTGAAGCAAAAGATTTGATATAGAGTAAGCAGATGTAATGAATCAATTATAATAAAAGCAGGGAATGGGAACAGGATACTGAGGAATGAACAAACCTCAAGTCCTTGATCTTGTTCCCAAGCAAGGCCAGGACCATTATACATATTTTTGATGACAAAGGTGCAGGACTTATCAGGGTAGAAATGAACCCTGCTACAACGATCACCAAATCGGCAGACTCCGGTTTTAAGATGAAAAGGACAGTGAGCTTTATCCTGGCACAACCAAAAAGGACGGGGAGTTAGCGAGCTATGCAGCAGTATGCAGCAGCAATGACATCGTTGTGAATGAGAATGATTGAATGAAGTTACCAGTTCGGTTCCGAAATTAGGTATTTGTTGAGCAACATTCTCGGGAAGCGAGCGAGTTTGAGAGGGAGATTCGGGTGGAAAGGGATTTGATGTAGGTATATTATCATCACGGTGGTCCTATGAATAATAACAACAGTTGATTGAATTAAGCGATGAATGAAACAAGGAATTATTAGAAAAGAAATAGAGAATTGCATAACATACCCGATGGTGAAGGAGGAGAACGGGCTTTTTCTTTTTGATGATTATTTCATTACCTAGCCAAATAATCTCCGGAGGACCACCATCATCGTCATCTGCAGCTTCTTCTTCTACGACGTCGGTGTTATCGAGTTGTTGAGATTGTTCCTGGTGAACAAGTTGAAGTTGTTGTTGTTTGATGATCCAATCCTTTTCCCTCTCTTCGAATGCGATCCTATCCCTTTCGATTCTGTCGGCCTCTTGCTGCTCCAAAACCATCCTCTTCCTCTGCTCCTCGGGATCCTTGAGACGCGCTTCTTCCTCCAACCGTTCCATCTCCGCAATCTCCTTCCTTCTCTCCTTTCTCTTCATTTTCTTCAATGCCTTTCGCTTCTCCTTTCGACTTTCCATCTCTCTTTCCAATTTCTCTTTCCCTTCTTGCATCCTTATACTTTTTTATTCATTATTTTATTATAAATCTTTCTTCAAATCAATTTTATTTAAATTAACATGTTATAACATCCATTACTACTATTTACTAACAAACCATCTCACCATCAACCATGCATAACACAACATGCTCTTTTTTTAACCGCAATACTTTTGTGTTTTATCTAACATTTGGCATGGTGCATCCGATAATATTCTCAAATCTGATGTGTCTCAAGTTGTTTCACTTTTCGTAGTTTCTCCTCTCGTAATTAAGATGGTAGATGGTAGATGTTCGTGACCAATTTAAAAATGTAGAAGAATTTGAATCACGTGAAGACATGTTGCAGTGGATTCGTATAAAGGCTACGAAACTATGATTTGGTGTTGTGATTGGAAGGTCCGATAATAATACGGATAGAAGAAATACATTTGTTATTTTTACATGCGAAAGAAGTGGGAAATACATATGCCGTATCCAAAATTTGAAACACGGCGACACCGGTTCAAGAAAATGTGAATGTCCATTTAGGTTGTGTGGTCATCTTATGACAAATAAAAAATAGAAATTTAATGTGATGTGCGGTTTACACAATCATGATTTAAGTCAAAAGTTAGTTGGTCATCCAATTGCATGTCGGCTCCTTCTAGATGAGAAGACGTGTGTTTCTGATATGACTGTATTTGATACCGCCAAAAAACATACTTGCAACCTTGAAGCGCAAAAGACCCGATAACACATCAAATATCAAACAAGTTTACAATAAGTGCTATCAAACCAAAATAGCGCTTATGGAGGATTGAACCGAGATACAACGCCTCTTTAAACTTCTAGATGAAAACAATTATGTTTGTAGGCACCGACGAGGTGATGATGGGGGTAACAGTAAGAGATATTTATTGGACTCATCCTGATTCCATTAAATTGTTCAATATGTTTCACACCATGCTCGTAATTGATTCAACGTATATGACTAACAAGTACAGGCTTCCATTGTTAGAAATTATTGGTGTTACATCGACCGAGAAGACATATTCTGTTGGTTTTACATTTCTAGAGTGTGAAAAAGAGGACAACTTTGCATGGGCTTTAGAGGTTTGTAGGTCAATGTTGAAGGATCAAGAAGATATATCGAAAGTCATTGCTACCAATCGAGATACAACATTAATGAATTTGGTTGCAACTGTATTTCCCACTTCTTATGCATTACTTTGTAGGTACCATATTATTAAAAGTGTGAGAAGTCAGGTTAAACCCGGGTAGGGACAAAACAGGTTGCAGACGAAGATGGAAAATTGGTCAAGGCGAGCGTCATTATGGAGAAAATTTTGGATGCATGGAATGTTATAATAAATGTATCTACAAAAGAGCTATATGTTGATGCTATTTTACAGTTCAAGAATGTTTGCGAGAAATATCCTGATCAATTGAAATATGTTGAAAGCACAATTCTTGATCAGGTTAAGAAAAAGGTTGTGTGTGTCTGGACTGATCAGGTTATACACCTCGGTAGTACAACAATAAACCGAGTTGAGTTTGCACATGCATGTCTGAAGAATTGGCTGGGAAATAGCAAGGGTGATTTGATTACAGGTTGGGAATCTGTGAACCAGACTACTAAACCAGCATAACGAGATACAAACAATATTTGGTCGTAGTATCACGGTGTTGGAACACGGTTTCAAAGACAACATGTTATATTCTCAATTGGTTGGTAACATATCTCGGGCAACTCTAAATTATATTTTTTTACGAGGCCAAACGAGCTTCTAATGTAGGTTCTGATAGCTCAAAGTGTGGTTGCACAATTGTGAAAACATATGGTCTCCCTTGTGCTTGTGTCATATCTAAGAAGATGAAAGTTGATAGCCCGATACATATGGACGAGGTCTTTGGTCATTGGAAGAGACCGAGTTTTGATGATGACGGTAAAATGAAAACCGATAAATCAAATATCTCCATCTTGACTGAATGGGAAGCGATATAAGAAAGATTTTTGAAAGTCGATGACGCCACCAAACTCCGCATCAAAGAACAATTAAGGAAGATTCTTGGAGACCACACACTTGAAACCACCATTCTAACCGGTAAAAACTAAAGGGGCACATAAGAAGGTGAAACCGACACCGGGTGACAGTTCAACTACGAGGAGTCCTTCATATTTTGAACGCGTTGACAAAGTTTTTCCCGATTCACCTACACCAAAATCTCAGAAAAGTGCTTTCAAAGGAGCGTGTATTAGCAAACCACCTCCTACACCGACTCCATCCAAAATACCATTCATCGATCACATGTCAGTTTTTATGCCCAAGTACATTGAATGGATCGTCAATGTCAGGGGTGACGGTAATTATAGTTTTCAGGCTATTTCTAGTTTGCTCGGTAGAGGGAAAGAGTATTACAATATTGTCTGAGATACCCTGATCAGAGAGTTGACGGACAATAGAGGATTATACACATGTGTACTAGGGAGTAAAGATAAGGTTAAGGAAATATATCACGCACTTGTAACTCCCAAGGTTAGAGTTGCACTAGAGGATAAATGGATGTGCTTCTCTAAAATGGGTCATCTCATAGCTAGTGCGTATGAGAGGTTGTGTATTAATCTTACAAGATACGGTTTCTCGGAAACTTATTTCCCTTTATGCACTGCTCCAACACCAAATCCCAATGATCGTATCATATGTGTTGGGTGGGTTTCAAATCTGCGTTATTTTGTTCAAGTGTATTTGAAATTGGGATGCCCTATACCACCTATATCACTGGAGTGGGCGCTTCATTTTACAAACCCATATGGGGCTGGTCGGACCAATTCATTGAAAGGATGCAAGAATACAACAAGTTGAACCAAATTTAAATAGAAAAAAATAGGGAAAAGTTAAAAGGTGTGCCACCGGTGGATTTATCCGGTGACACTTTTTTCGGCTCATTCAAGTAGTTAGGTATCATTTTATTGTTAACGTAATTTTGTTCATGTATTATGATGTGGAAATATAGTCATTTTTGTAGTTGACCAAAAATACAATATTTGAATACATGAGGCTTTTTTTGTTAGAGTTGTTGTTTATGTTCTGTTTATGGTTTTTTCACTCCCAGGGCCTTAATCGGAAATATACTTCTGGTTCCATTTAATAAAAAACCAAAAATTAATTGTCGGTTCTATCACTAACACAAAGATAGGATTTGTATGTTCATGTTTACCTTCAACTATGATAAAAAACCTCACTTCTTATATTTTTTATACCACAACACCGAAAACCAGAAATGAGCATGAAATTGAACATCAAATGGCATGTTAGAGTTTTCCACTTTATCGGTACTACACCATCTCGTGAATTTAAGTTTACTGTGTACACCCATATTAAAGATGTGCGTGAAATATTGCAGAAACTTGTACCTTATGGCGATAATCAGAAAATTGTGAAGATCGAGTACCGCTCGCCGTCTGTTGACAAAGATGGGAAGTTTGTGTTCATGAACCATGAGATGAAGAACGACGATGATATATGGGCTATGTGGAATACTTTTGACAGTTTTGAGAAGAAAGTTCTGATCGAGCTATATGCGACTATAACAAGATCGGTCGATGATATTATTATGATGTTGTAGCGTCCACCTGGACATTGATTTGTAATGTTTAATTTATGTTTAACTCCTAAATGTATTTGATATATTTATGTTATGAATTATATTGTGAATTATGATGCAATTCAATAATGTTTTCTGGTTTCTGTAAAGAATAAAATCAGAAATACACCTCTGGTTCCAAACCAGTATTAAACTTCTGGTTTCTATGTATACTTTATGAGATCTAGGTGTGAACCAGAAGTATACTTCCGGTTTTGAGGGATATTTATGAAATTTCACGTGGTGCGTAAGAAAGTCATGGGGTGGGTTAAGAAATTTCCCTTATGTCATTCATCACATGACATTTGATTCTCAATATTTTTTAAGGAATTCTTTATATTATTATTGTATATGATTCTTATTATCGGGTTAATGGTTTTAGAGACATTGATCTTCAATCTTTTAGATAGAAAATGTCTTTGACATTTCTGGTTTATCGAACAATATTATCTTTATCTCTAAGTTTCTAGAGGAATTATTAATAATTATATATTTTTTCATTGTACTTTCCAAGATCTTACAACTAGGAAGACAACAGGAGTTACTATGTAACATTGATAATTATATTATCTCTCTAATGCACGAAATGGTCAGGAGGTGTTGTCTTCTGCACTTCAATCTTAGAGACAGTAATCTTTTGCCTCCCAAATACTGCTTCAACCAGTGGCGGAGCCAGAAAAATTATGAAGCCTGAACAACTTTTCATTGGCTTCATAATTTTCTACCAAGACAGTACAATGCTAATCTCAAAGGAATTATTTCCTTGAATTGCAATTGCCTCTTCAATTTGTAAGATTTCGGATTTTATAATATATACATGTTCAAATTTCGGATTCTATAATATATACATGTTACAGTATTTCAGGTGTGCTCACAAAATGAACAAACCTATAAAAGCCGAGAAAATTAGTTCAACACGCTCATTTGTGAGAAATTAAGTACTGCCTAAAAACACCACTATCAATTCAAATTCCAAATAATGTTGTCAAATGCAGATCGGAGAAATGGTGGTTTGTTAAAATTCTGGTATGCTACAATGTTGTAGAGCCACTATTTGAGAACACATTGTACTAAGTAGCATAACAAAAAACAATAAGGATGTGATCAAACTCCGCTACATTATAGTACAATAGCTATAACTTCTATTTAACAACAATGATTCCAAGATATGCCAATCCAATGGCGGAGACAGTAAGATTATAAAGCCTGGGAAAAAATATAAAGACCGAAAATTAAGCCTGGGAAAAAAATTTAAAGATCGAAAATTAAACCCGGACAAAAAATTTAAAGACCAAAAATTCACATAATATATAACAAAAAAAATTGTTTTTGCCCTTTTTTTTCCTTTCACTTTTTGGCCTTTTTTTGTTTTTTTTTTATAAAAAAA